ACAGAGGTTACAGTGACCAGCCTTTTCTCTGTCCTCGCAGAGTTACTTCCTTCTGAATCGGGAGACGAGCTGTTTCTAGTTGTTTTGTGTTCAGCTCGATAAACTGAATTTACTGTACACAGTGTGCCTACCTCTCTCACTGAATCTGTGTTGCTATGAAGCCAGTTTCCTCCCAAGATCTTGGAGCCAAACCTGTCTTGTGTAACTAACTCGTCGATCCTTATATCTCCTCCCCCTGTGGAGACATATCTAATATGACCCAGTTCCTAGGGGGACACTAAGATCTGCCTGCCTGGTCTGGCAGGGGAGGAAGTGCTTTGAGGGAAGGTTGGGAGGGATGTGCCATCTGGGGATTGAACAAATAGTGAAGGTCACCTACTGATTTGTTCCTCAGAATACTGAGACAGAATCTCAGTGCCCTCTGACTTCCAGGATTACCAACTGGCATTTAGACCAGTTGGAGGCAGCTGAAGACCTGATTGCCCAAGATGTGTCATAGAGCACCTGTTAAAAGCAATTAAGAAGCAGAAGACCAGCCCTAGCCGGTCTGACTCGGTGGATAGAGTATCGGCCCAAGGACTGAAGGAAGGGTCCCCGTTCAATTCTGGCCAAGGGCACATACCTCAGCTGCAGGTTCGGTGTTCCTCTCACATCGATGTTCCTCCCTCTATCTCTCCGCCTTCCCTCCACCCTTTCTAAAAGTCAATGGAAAAATATCCTCCACTCTCTAAAAATCAATGGGAAATTATTGGGTGAGGATTAACAAAAACAAAAATAATAAAATAAAAAAAGAAGCAGAAGAGCTCAGTTTACTGCTAAGAACAAAGTCCAGCTCAAACCAGCTCCTTCCGATCCTTATGAAAATTGTTTTGGGGCCATTTGGGCAGGCATCCAAAAATGAGAGCCAGTGCTAGCTGGATGCTATGCTTCAACTGCTCTGCCTACCTAGTGCTTGTCTAGCTAGCCCCTGGTGTTCTCTCTCTCTCTCTCTCTCTCTCTCTCTCTCTCTCTCTCTCTCTCTCACACACACACACACACACACACACACACAATGGCATAGCATATTTCTTGGTAGAACCTGTTCAACTTGTTCTTCCTTTTTAAGTAACAGACCCCACTCCCACAGGGATCCACCAAAGGGAAAGATGCCTTAATTGATGTTAGAACCAGGGAAAAGCAAGAGATCCATGAAGGCCTTGAGTAATCTGGCTTTTGAAAGGAAGTGAGATGGTGTTCTTTTTTCTTTTTTTTAATATATATTTTATTGATTTTTTACAGAGAGGAAGGGAGAGGGATAGAGAGTTCGAAACATCGATAAGAGAGAATCATTGATCAGCTGCCTCTTGCACACCCCCTACTGGGGATATGCCCGCAACCAAGGTACATGCCCTTGACTGGAATCGAACCTGGGACCTTTCAGTCCACAGACCAACGCTCTATCCACTGAGCCAAACCGGTTTTGGCGGAAGTGAGATGGTTTAACGAAGAGAACACATCTCGGAAAGGCAGGAGACAGTCTCACCATGAGCCCTGAGACAAGTCACTTAACTGCAATGAGCCTCAGTTCCTCCAAGCAGAAAACTGAGAAACTCCTACGCACTTTTGCTTCTTCTGCATACGGGGACTAAAGGGTGTTAGAGAGCTCACCTTTGGCGTCTTGAACTTGGCAGTAATACTGGACAGTCCCAAAGGGCAATTATGGAGCTAATGATTTGGAAGTGAAAGGGAGTACCAGGCCGCCCTCCCCCATCTTTGGCTCTCTGACCACTGCAAGTTCTCTGGCTAATTCCAGAAGGTCTGAGTTCATTAACCCCTGTGGACTTGGGCTCTTTTAGTCATTGCCCTAAGGGACCTTTTAAGGAACCACGTATTAATGTGGCTTGGTCCTAGCGGTCTGGTTCCAAAGCTCAGTCCACCCCAGGGAGGACTTAGAGAAATGTTTCGTCCAGACCCTGTCTTCCTGGACGAGACTAGCAAGCTCTCTGATTAAACCTAGGGGATTTTCTTTGGGAATGTTTAGGCTTTTTCATGAGACTTTTTATTTTTTTAAATATATTTTATCGATTTTTTACAGAGAAGAAGAGAAAGGGATAGAGAACTAGAAACATCGATGAGAGAAAAACATTGACTACCGATGAGAGAGAAACATATGATGTCTCTCAGAATTAGACAGGAATAGCTTATGTGGGATGCCCTGGCCGAGTGGCTCAGTTATTGGAGCGTTGTCCCATATTTGATCCCCAGTTGGGGTAATGGCAGGAGACAACCAATAAATGTTTCTCTCTCTCTCTCTCTCTCTCTCTCTCTCTCTCTCTCTCTCTCTCTCTCTCTCCCTCCCTCCCTCCCTCGCTCCCTCCCTTCCTCCCTTTCTCTCTCTCTAAAATCAATAAAGCCCAGCAGGTGTGGTTCAGTGGTTGAGCATTGATCAATGAACCAGGAGGTCACAGTTCAATTCCCTGGTAAGGGCCCATGCCCAGGTTGTGAGCTTGATTCCCAGTGTAATGAGCAGGAGGCAGCAGATAGGTCAATGATTCTCTCTCATCATTGCTGTTTCTTTCTTTCCCTCTCCCTTTCTCTCTGAAATCATTAAGAATATATTTTAGCCCTAACTGGTTTGGCTCAGTGAATAGAGCCTGTGGACTGAAGGGTCCCAGGTTCAGTTCCAGTCAAGGGCACATTCCCAGGTTGCAGGCTCAATCCCAAATAAGGGGTGTGCAGGAGGCAGCTAATTATTGATTCTCTCTCATCATTGATGTTTCTATCTCTTTCTCCTTCTCCTTTCCTCTCTGAAGTCAATAAAAATATATTTTTTTAAAAATGTAATCCTCAGGTAAGGATTTTTTTTTAAAAAAAGGAAAGAAAAAAAATAACTCAGGAGGGGAAAGAAGCAGGGAAATAAAAATTAAAAAAAAAGACTTTACCCTTATTTGCCCTTCAGAACCCCTACCCCCACCTCTGGCTCTATCAATATAATATTATAAACAAACCAAATTTGCATCTACCTGCCTCAGTGAGATCTTTCAGAGACCAAGAATATTGGTGGCAGCTTAGGCTATTTATTTCCTTGCCCCACTCTTTTTATTTTATTTTATTAATTTCAGAGGGGAAGGGAGAGGGAGAGAGGGATAGAAACATCAACGATGAGAGAGAATCATTGATCAGCTGCCTCCTGCACACCCCCAACTGGGGATTGAGTCTGCAACCTGGGCTCATGCCCTTGACCGGAATCAAACCCAGAACCCTTCAGTTCAAATCCTTGCCCCACTCTTGCTCCCCCAAATACTGTATGTCCCTGGGATATTTATTTTTCATTAAATAAATACTGAAAGCAATTTTGGATGTATGTATAATTCTTCCAAATAGATTTTCCCCCCTCCTCCCGCAGGCTCCTAAGGGGATAATTCATTGCGACAAATTAGCACTTTTAATTGTTCTCAGTTCTTCATTGTTTATAATCTACTGTCAATTAATGTCTTCCTTACCTCAAATAGACTAACCTGCGTTTTATTTTATTTTTTATTTTTCTTAAAATATATTTTTATTGATTTCAGAGAAGGGAAAAGGAGAGAGAAAGAAACATCAATGATGAGAGGGAATCATCTATGGGCTGCCTGCCTCCTGCGCGCCCCCTAGTGGGGATCGAGCCCGAAACTTGGGCATGTGCCCTTGACTGGAATCCAACCAGAACCCTTCAGACCGCAGGCCAACGCTCAATCCACTGACTGAGCCAAACCGGCTAGGGCCAACCTGCATTTCAAATCCAGGCTCCTGCCTTCTTTAAAAACAATAAGCATATCAAAGTATTGACAAGAAGGTGGGGAGGGCCATTTAAACGTTTAATTTGTTTATATACCTTCGATAGAGAACTGTCCTCACTGAACCTGAGGTGGGCTGCTCTCCTCCACCCTCTACTTTCCTGTCCCCCTCCCTCCTGCCACACACCCAAAACAGAATCCCTTGAACAGCAACTGAATCCTGCTTCCTCCTCTGACTACTGCCCCATCCTTAGCCAGGTATAGAGCCTCCCAAGGGCTGAGGTGGCTGTAACCTGCCTCCTTTCCTACAGCATTAGCTCCACCTACAAGGAAAGGGTCTCTCTCAGAACAACACAACCAGAACCTCTCGGGAACAAGACAGCATCTCCAGCCCGGAGCCCGGGAAACGGAAGTTGTGGGTTGGAGGAGGCCCTGGGGTTTGTGCATGGTCTTCCTCACCAGGATAAGGAATGGGGGTTTTCTTCTTTAGGATAGAGCCAGGGCACACGCAAGTGATCTCCTAGGTTTCTTGCTAACCCCAGGATGTTAGAAACCCCTCCCTCCCCAGATCTGGCTTCTAATCACGGCTATTTTCCTTTTCAGCGGAATCTAGGATGGACATAGAAGACTGCAATGGCCGCTCCTATCTGTCTGGTATGCCCTCTTGTGCGTTCTGTCTGTAAGGGCTGGGAGCAGACCCTCCTGTGGGGCAGCGCGGCCCTCCTAGCCCGGGACCTCTGAGTGCCCTCGGCACAGAGCTGACACCCACACTCGGTAGTGCTCGACGGTGATCATTTATTCTGGTCATTTTACGTTCCTTAGCGATTCTCTTCCCAGACTTCTTGGGTGAAAGGAGAAGGGAATAAGAGAGGAATGTGAGCAGAGACCATTAGAGAGGAATGGCTTGAAGCAAAGAGATGCTAGTCTCTGACGTCACCAGCAAACATGATATTCAGTAGAGAGTAGAGCAGGGTTTCAAGGTCTGTGGGGGCCGGATGGGGATGTAAATGAACGGCCTGGGTTAGACAGTGGTCGGCAAACTGCGTCTCACAAGCCACATGCGGCTCTTCCACAAGATACCACGGCCTGGGCGAGTCTATTTTGAAGAAGTGGCGTTAGAAGAAGTTTAAGTTTAAAAAATTTAGCTCTCAAAAGAAATTTCAATCGTTGTACTGTTGATATCTGGCTCTGTTGACCAATGAGTTTGCCGACCACTGGGCTAGGATAATGAGCTGAAGGGAACGA